TAGGGTTTAGGGTTTAGGGATTAGGGTTTAGGGATTACGGTTCAGGGTTTAGGGTTTAGGGTTTAGGGTTTAGGATCGTGGAAAGAGGATGCAAAGAGACCCTAGGGGCTCCATGTACCTAAATATTGCATTATTGGGATATATACTCTATGGTTAGTAGCCTACTATTGAAGTAGCCGAAGCCCTACTATTGAAGTAGCCGAAGCCCTAGGCATCTTTGGAGATCAGGATTTAGGGTTTAGGGTCTTGGGGGATGGGAAGGAGATGTGAGGACCAGGATTTGGGGTTTTATTAGGGGTTTAGGGTTTAGGGTGTACGTAGTGTGACGGCTATTGCGTAAGTTTGCAGCTGTATACGTCTTCGTAGAAGCATGCCACTTGCAGCAGTATGCGTAGCATGCAGGGCAAATCAACACACGGAAACCATTTCGGCAGTGGTGACGTTCAGGGTGGTCTTGGCGTCGGCGACGGTGGTGGTAGTAGAGGTGTTGGTGGTGGTGGTGGTGGTGGTAGCAGCAGCAGGAGGAGGGAGACCGGCATCATCAGCAGCAGCATCAGCAGCTGCTTGAGTGCCGCGCAGTAGTACAGCGCTTGCTGAAACAGCAACATCAGCAAGCACAATCAAAGTCATAGATCGATTCTGCCATCACTAGAGATGTTGAAGCCTGAAGACCCAGATGGCCCACCTTGTCCCACAGTTGTCCTAGATTCCGGGAAACCCCTCCTGGACTTAGCGCTCGGACCAATACACGGGCCGAATAGCTAGTAAGATCCTTGGCAAAAGCAGTGCTAAAGCATTATCGCACGAAGCCCTGCCCGACAGCCCTGGTCTAGTCCAAGACAACATAATCCAAGTATTCAGACCCCCTATCTTGCAGACGCCCTTTAAAAACCCATGAATGCCCCAACAAATCCGCAACGAAGACCTATGAAACCATATAAGCTCGCAGGAAACCCCGTTCTGAAACCCTTCCCCGAATAACCTTACTTGCTAAGTCCCATGATCCTCTAAGTAAACCTTAACCCTAAACCCTAAACCCTAAACCCTAAACCCTACTTAACCTGCTGGTTTCAGGAAGGACTTGCAGCCGCCGACACCCGAGCTTCTGCCTTAGAGGAGCTTTTGGCGCAGGCGGGGGGGCAGGGAGTTCCTTCAATGGGCTCTTTTTCGGGGTTTGGGGTTTTGGGTTTTGGGTTTAGGGTTTGGGGTTTAGGGTTTAGGGTTTAGGGGTTTGAGGTTTTGGGGTTTAGGGTTTAGGGTTTAGGGTTTGGTTCGTTCCTAGGCCCTTGGGTTTAGTCTTCGTTTTTGCCCCTAGCTTCCCTGGCACGCTGCGACTGGCCGGCTAGTCGCTTTCCCTTTTGCCCCCCTTCTCCCTGCTTCGAACCGCCTTAGGGATCTAGGTTGTTGCAGTCACCTACATACATAATTTAAGGGTTCGTCTTTGCACCCCCCCCTCTTCCCTGCTCCTAACCGCCTTCGGGATTCAGGTTGTTGCAGTCAGCCGCATCATTTAAGGGTTCGGCAAGGAGGGGGTTTAAGGTTTAGGGGCTTAGTCTGAAATGTCAGAGTGGAGAAGGTTTAGTGCTTTCAAGGTTTAGGGTTTTAATGGGCTGTTCTAGGAGAGGCTTGAAGGTTTAGGGGTTTAGTCTTACTTCACAACAAAGGTTTAGGGCTTTCAAAGTTAAGGCTTTGAAGGAGTAGGTCAAGGATTTCGCTAGCCATGCTCGCTCGAGTTGCGTGCTTCTTACACAACTGCGTGCTCGCTCGATTGTATGGCTCGCTCTCATGCGCGCTCAGAGCAGCGCACGCGCGCCAGCGAGCACCCAAAAATGTTAGAAGCACCCTCCCCGAGCGAGCATGCAAAATCGACGCGTGTTTTAGGCCTCAGACTCGTCGTAGAGGTGTTTAGGGTTTGGGGTTAAGTTCCAGGAAAATCCAA